ACTTCCTCCTGTCACTAAGGTAGAGACAAATAAAGAGGGAACTCTGATTTTTAGATTCATCTTGCAGTAAGTAAAAGCACTGAGAACTCTATCTTTATTCTTTGAATTCACATTTAGCATATGCCTTTTGTCAAAACCAATTTTAGTCACCCAAGGCAGTGGTCATATTTTTATCATATTTTGATCTCACTTGTGTATTGCTTTGTTATCGCACGGTGACTAGATTGAATATTTATTTGCAAGCTTTGTTAAAGCTCATCTTTTCTACTTCAGAACTGAGTAAAATCAAGAATTAGTTACTGAAGCTTTTTAAAGGGAGCAGACAGTATTACTTTAGTTTGATGACTTTTACCACCAAATTCCTAGCTTTAAAAAACCTCTCGGGTTACAGCATAGAAATATCTCCCAGAGCTTAAGTTGAACTCTCTCATGAAATCCCATTTGCAAATTTGACATATACTCTCTAGTTAAAAAGCAAAGGGACTTAGAAACATAACTGACTAGCACCTTCAGACTGTGGTTCTGTGATTTAATATGGACAACCTTTTGTATTGTTTGAAAACGTCTAAATTTCTCTTTACTGTTTCTCCTTCATGCCTGGCTTGATGAGGCAGTCAGCATCAGGTAAGAAAGTTTATTCTGAGGTTTGAGGATCTGATTGTTAGTCTTTTTTTTCAGCTCTTCTGAATTTGTGAAAGTACACTGTTACCTGTTAAGAGTATGTACGATTAAGTTATTTTCATATGTTGACAAGTAGAACATAGAGTTTGTCTTTAAAATGCTGAATTCTTTAGGCACAAGAAGGTATATAAATGCACACATTAAGATTCTGTGCTTGATTCAGGTGGCTTTTGAAGGGATAATGATGGTCATAGAATGTTACTAACCCTTTGAAATGTCCCAAAAAGACCTGTGCTTAGTGGTTGTAGTGAAAACCGGCTTGAAGCTGCAGTCATCTAGACAATATGACCTGGATTTGAGAATTCTAAACAAAGCACATGGGTTTACCAGACCTCTTTTTTTATTGGTTGCTCTTTTTTTTTAACAGATATTATCACATTTCAGATTCTTGCAAAATTGAAGCTGTAAGAAACAGGTTCATTTAAGTGTCACTTGTTGGAGTGACATAGATCTAGTTCCCTTCACATGAAGGAGGGCCAGATCCAAAACTGAAAGGCTTTAACCAATATTGTCTCTTTGTACAAAAGACAATAGAAGTGACAGACCTTGAGGTGTAAGTCCATACCCTGTTCAACATGGTTGCAAGAAGAAGGGTTGGTTTTACTTCAGAGATAAGGATAGAGTAGAACTAGGGTGTGGGGCTGTGTGTTTGGGTTGGGTCTACCCATCCTGCATTCCAAGCCCTTCCTTGGATTTCCCATTGTCTTTTTGTACTTGGCTACATGAATAGCAAGATCCTGGCATAATGCTTTAGTTCCTACTTTAAGCTCTTTTCCCGTGTTCCAACGAAACACTTGACAGCAAGAGTCTCAAGTCTGTATTAAAAAGGTGGCAGATGAGCTTCAATGTAATAGGGTGATTTATCAATTACAAAATGAAAACCATACCTACACAATGGCAAGCAGAGAATGGGTAGGTACAAATCAGGGAAGATATTTTCAAGTTGGTATTGAGGGTCCTCTGACATCACTGGCTTAGCATGCAGCAGTGACAAAATCGGACAAGGCGATGTTGGGCATCAACAAAAAGTAAAGTTGTTTCAAATGCTTTGAGAAGCTTTAGAAAGCCTTTCTGTTGCAACAGAAGTTGCAGATAATCATATTCCTTCAGAAATGCTCCTGAGCACAGATCAAATTGAGGTGCCCCTGAACTGTCTTCAACCTGGAAAGTACACAAAACTGAAAATAGTGCACAGCTGTTCCCAACCTATTCTGTTGGATTATTTTAACTTCTTGAAGATTAGTTTATTTCATCAACACTGGCATTTAAGATATGAAACAGATTCTGCCTTCAGTGGAAAAACCACTTGTTCTAAGTATTTTCAAGATTAGAAGACTAGGTTTTGTGATAAGTTAACATACTGACATTTAATGAAAAGCATTTGGATTCCAGTGACAGCATTTACATCTTTAAGAAGTGCAAGAGCTTCTCAAACTCAGAATGGCTGTAATATGCATCTTACTGTGCTTTTCATATGTCTCACTGAATCAGGTTGGATGGGAGCCTGGGGGGCCACTAGTCCAACTATCGGCTCAAAACAGGACCAACACTGAATTCAAAGCAGGTTGCTTAGGCCTTTGCCAGTTGGGTGTTGAAATTCACTGATATGAAGAGTCCACAGTCTCTGAACAACCTTTTCTAATTCTTAACTAGCCTTGTAGAAAATATTTTCCCTTCATATTCAATCAAAACTTTGTGTTTTGTGTTATGATCAATGTCTCTACTTCCACTATGCATTTCAGTAAAGAACCAGTTCTCAATTAGCTTAAGGTATAAGCTCCTGCCTGTTAACAGTCTTGGTGCCTCTCATTAATATCTTGTACTGAGGAGTGAGGTAGCAAATGCAGAATAGGATAGATGGAGTCTAACAAGAGCTCCAGTGTCCTCTCCAGCAGTGTTGTTCTCCAGCCTGTTGATCCCTAAAGTCCAAGCAAATTCTATGCTATAGTGTTTGCCTGTGCTCCTGGCTGAGGCAGCGAGTCCTCAAACAGACACAAGTTACAGAACTATATGACTATTCATAGGTATATCATGTATATCCTCTGCAGTATGTTCATGTTTCTTCATAGCAGTCTGTTTCCCCTTGGATGTAAGGAGTACTTGAGGAAAAAAAAAAAGCAGGCAAGTGTAAAGCTGCAGATCAAAATGTTTCTGTAAGGTCACAGATTTGTTATCCTAATGAAAGGATACACAAAGATAACACGGTGTTTGCCTAGATTCACTTGAGGAACTGGCAAAGGTTGTGTCTATTCATGATTTTTTTCACTAACAGCATTTTCCACAGACTCAAATTTGGAAAGGTTACTGCCTAAAACCGTGAAACCATGATTTTGTCATGTTACCTAAATATATTCAACCAAAGGTATCATGTTTAAGTCTTCAGGAAAACAGCTGAGGTCATTGGCTTGGCTTTCTGAGTGTTCAAAACAATTAACATTGAGTATCAGCTTTATAATTGCAGGTGAACCAATGGCTTAACTGTGCAGACCTAAAAGCATATATTTTCTTACTCTAAGATGAAGTTCGTAGTCACTTGTACAGCAGATCATTTTTTTTTTCCCTGTGGTGAGTGTGGAGAGAAATTATTGGGTTTTGTTTTTCTGTGTTTTATTTTCTTAGTGGCTAAAATTGATAGCTGTTTTGGAAAATTCGTGTGGCAGCTAATCTGATCATATTGCAGGATATTTTCAGGGATAATATTTCTAAATAACACAAGAATCTCTGTTTTGGGATTTTTGTAGCTAGGTATATGAGCTAGTAAAAATTATTTATTCCAGATATATTTTACTGTCCAGTATCTAATATTTGGCATAAGCTGATTTTGCTTGCATCATGTATTGTGCTGTGCAAGTGTGGAACTCTGTTTTGCTTGCCTTTATACAAGCAAAGTCCTTGTGAAACAGCTGCAGCCTATGTGTATGTGAAGAAAATGCAAAAAACTTCAGTACACACAGTAACAACCAAGGGTTAGGTGTAGAGCATGTCCCATATTCCTAACAGGAATGTTTTGGTATACATTACAAGCTGGAGCTTTTATATGCTGTTAACATGCAATTTAATGGCTTCTAGCATGATTATGACTCTTGTGATCTTTTTTCAACTCCTTTTTTATTCTCATCTTCTGCACAAGCCCATGGTAAGTACAGAGATTCCTTCTTTCCCAAATGGACAGGTAAACATCTCATATTGATCTCAATACCAAGGACATACATGCACCTGATATTTATCAAAATGAATGTTGCTTCAGGTTTCTCAAACTTCAAATAGATTTCTGTAAAGAAACTCCTCAGGCATTTTATTCTATTTTCCAGATCTCTGTTACTGTGAGAAGTCACTTACAAAGTAGTAATTGGTGCATCTTCCTTTTTAAGCTTCTAGAGTGACATTAGAAAGTTCTGCAATCCATTTAAAATGCTTTTCTGCATCCTCAGGATTTTTTATCTTAATACTCTTAAACTATCAAGCTGACCCTGAGGTAGTTGCTACTAAAAGCTAGCAAAATGAGATTCTAAAATGAACAAAAATAACCAACCTCAGGAATGTCTTCCACGAGTTGCAGTTGTTTTTCACTAAGTTAATAAGGGACTTGCCAAACTTCAGTGCTTTAGGTTTTACTTTAGAATAGCTGGAATGCATGGGTGTAATAGGGTATCACCCCCCAGTGCATTGAATTAAAATGTTACTGTATCTGCCCATGGTCTGACAATCTTTTTTTTTTCTCATTGGATGTTCTCTTAATTGCAACTACAATTTATGCTGTACAAGGAGATGTTTCTCTTACACTGTTTGATCTGAAATATCACTGGATATGAACTAGGCAATTAAGACACTCCATCTTGTAATGTAGACAGAATTAAACATATTCTTCGGGATATTTTTTTCTGTGGTTGTGTGAAACTGGCAATATTCACGTGGGACCCTGCTCTTCGCAACAGGGGGAAGAATGTCTCCAGTGAGAAGTTAGGCAATATGGGAAAGAACAAAGCTGTGAAAGTAAGATGTTAAGGCTGAAAGTGTTGTCAAAGCAAATAGGTCACTCTAGAAAATAGAAACCATCTTTGTGGGCATATTATAGATGCAGTAAGTAAAGGAATCTGTCGTTAGTGATTCTAGGTACCTTGATTATTAAGCCTCAAAACTCTAATACTCAGTGATCGTCAAACGTGCTACTTCCAGATCTGGTATTAATTTTATCCAGAACTTCAGTGAGACATTTCTGAAGATGTGTTTGGTTTTTTGGTTTGGTTTTGGTTGTTTAGGGGTTTTTTATTGCTGGACTTGAGCTCTGATTAACTGTCAACTTCCACTTTTTCTAACAGATCAAGTGTCTAAAAGGCCAGAGAGACTTCTCAGACCAACCCACTTTTGATGGGATTCACATCGTCAACCATTTCACAGGAGATGATGAATCATTTCATTCTTCTGATGAAGATTTTATAACTAACTCCATACAGGAGAGTGGGGTGAGCTTTCATCTACCCAGGAGGACTGGTCAGATGGCTTTGGATCGCACACTTGTAGACAGCAGTGACAGTGATACTGAGGAAAGTGCCCTTCAGACTGGGAATTCAGATAAGATGGTTTCTAAGCAGAGAAGAATGGAATCTTATTCTACTACTGTGTGATTACCACTGTGACTAGCACTGAAGACTTTCATGTTTCTTTAAGGTTGAAATTGTCAGGTAACTGAAACCATCCAGCAGTTGGTTTAGGTCACGATTGGATCTGGTCTGGCCTGTGATAAATGTATAGATGTACTGTCTATCTGCCTTCTCTCTTTGCCAAATCTTGCTAGTGACATACCATTGCCATAAAACAGGCTGGGAAGGAGTTGATGGATGACAGTTCTGACAGTATTACTGAATGTTCCTTGGTTTAGAAACTGCAAATATATTATTTCTTTAATGCAGAAGAACCATTTTTGCTGTTCACAAACATGGGAATTATTTTCCTCAAAAGAAATTGCTTTTGTGCAATATTTTATGCTCTGAACAAATGTGTATGTTTTACATTGTTATCCATTTGTGATCGAGATGGACCCTAGTAAGCCATCTGATCATGACACACATATATATATATATATATATA